TTATCAAATTCAAAGGAAAACGAGAAGCAAATTAAAATACATCATTTCACTTCATGATTACGAGTTCAAATATTGCATAAAAACAAGTAGCTTACGAGTACAAGATTACAATAGTTATAATAGAAGAGCTGAGTACAAAATAAAGTGGTGTCCAACTTCTTTATGTAGTCTTAGGAACAGGGCTTGAGGCAGCAGGGTCAGAAGCATGAGTAAATCCCAGATAATCAGAGGGGTTTTCAGCAAGAACATCAACAGAGCCTTTTTCGTCATGAGTGCATAGTCGGTCATTATCAATAAAATTGAAAGTTTCTATTTTGCTCAAATGAGGCAAGGAAGGGTCTGGATGGAAAAATTTCACCTGATCTACAACCCAGCCACGAATTTGATGACCGAAGGCAACATACTTAGAATCCATGTCATCAGCAGCCTGTTGTAAAGCCAGGACTTTTTTCTTCAGAGTATCCACTTCTAACTCTAACTCGGCTACCCGGAGGTCAGAATCTTCATAATTTTTTGTCAACACCTTGTGTTTGTCAGTCAACACTTGATGCTCTTTTTTGAGAGTAGCAAGTTCTTCATTGCTTTTCTTACTGGATTCTTCGCTTTCTTTGAGTTTAATTTGGAAGCCCTGAGCAACAAACTCGACAGCTTCAGCCTTTTGAAGGAGCTGTGTCTTTTCTGTTTGTAACTTTTCTTTTACGAGTTGGGACTCTTTCAGATCAGTCAGAAGTTGTTGACGTTCAGCTAAGGCGAAAAGCGCCATTTCGTAGTAGTGCGCTTCCCGGAGAGAGTGATCTCGGATGTCGGTGAATTTGGCCATAAGTTGATCTAAAGAGAACTTGTCCCATTTGTCACGGAGCCCGGGAGTAAAGCATTGCTTCAACTTTTTCATAAAAGGGGGTTCTGCGCGAGGAGTAGCCATGACAGAAGAAGGTGGAGTTGAAGACTTTTCAACAGAAGAGTCAGGACTAGGTTCGTTAATTCGAACTCGTTTTCTTCGAAGGAGCTCGCTGGAATCAATAGGGGCCTCCACATCCATTATAACAGTATCATCTGGGATAGAACCAGTAGCAGACGTAGCCGGCATAGGAGAACGAGTTGGAGAGATGTCTTTCCCACCTGAAGCAGAGGAGTCATCTTTACGGGTAGCCTTTTGCTTTTGGCGGGCAAAAAAGGTAGGGTCCATGACTTTATCTAGAAACCACAGATACAAAGAAAATAGATTTGAGGTTAAAAGCAATATTCAGGTAAAAACATATCAGAATTATTTAAGCTACTTACTTAATTTCCTGCAAACCCAGTCAGAAGAATCTTTATAAGTTAGAATAGACCGAGGAATAAGGGAAATATTTTCCTTAGCTAATTCGGAGGCAAGCTTTGTGAACCAAGTGTAAGTTTCAGTTTCGTCGGGGCTCAAATTCTTTGAATTCATCAAGAATGCTTTGGCAGAAGTTGTGTAATGAAGACGGTTCCAACTGAGAGGAAAGCGCGGAGCTCCGTGCTGATCCAAAAAGAAAGCAGAAGGAGAGGCAGGTTGAGAAGAAGAAGAAGAGGCAGAAGGTGTGGCAGGAAGAGCTTCAGGAATACAGATTTTGAAGTATTCTTCTTTGAAATTCTTCCAATTATCTTCATATATAGAACACCAACGTAACCCGGGTCGAGCCTTTAAAGATACCCAGCTATGACGAGTACATCTTTTATCTACAGCATTTCAGAACACAGCAAAAAGGCAGAAAAAGACCCGAAAGGAATAGGGGAATCCAAACGAACGACAGATTATCTCAAAGGTATGTAGAAAACACCAACTGTTAGGATGCAGTTGAGAAGGAGCGACTTGCAAGTGATTCAAGACCTCCATTTGGAACTCGGAAAAAGGTAAAGATATGAAGAGTTCAGAAAATAAACTTTTGTAGGTAAAGAAGAAAGAGTTCTCACCTTGCCCGGAAGGTGAACAAATACGTTCTTCTTCTCTGGGTACTGCAACTCGGAAAGAAGTGATAATTGAGTCACAAAATAGAGGTACAGTTTGTAAGGCAGTATGGAGAGAACTCGGCTGGTTTTCATAAGAGGAACGAAGCCTTAGAGCTTCTTCTTCAACCCATTCTAAACCTTCAACAGTAGAAGGTAGTGCGAAGCGTGATAGGGGAAGCGAACGGTAGGGACGATTCCTCGGTATGGCCTGGACGGATAGGTACCAATAAAATCTATTTTAGAAGATATAGGGCAAGATAAAATGTATATAACGCAAAATTGTTGGTTATACTCAGATGCCTAACCCGTCCAGAACATGAGAGGGTGGTTAAAGAAAATCAAAGAAAAGGAAGAGATAAAGATCAGAAAAGTATGGAGTAAAGGAAAGAGATAAAGGATAAGATGATAAGTTTTCGACAAAGTTTGTTAAGGAAATAGATGTATCATAATAAGCATGAATACGCACATATAATGTCATAAATTAATTACGATGTAAAGGAAATAGAGGAACTTACTTGTGTAAGGTGCGAGGGCTTTAAGCAGGTGGTAAAAGGATGATGGCAAGATCCACGCGGAAGAATCAACGAAGCAGAAAGGAAGAAAAACCAGAAAGAATGGCAAGAAAGGCGAAATGTTCTAGTGAAGAAGAAGAAGAAAAACGTAAAAAGAGAAGAGACGCAAACGGTAATATAAGGGTAGAAATGGGTAGCCGATGTTCCCGAATTTCAAAAAATAATGATGGGTGTCAGGATGAGTCGTTTCAGATGTCAAGTCGTTTCGAAAATCAAGGCAGTTAGAGAGCGACAAGTGGCAATTGGAAGCTGAATAGGCAGAGAGTATTTAATAAGGATACTGACGTAAGGAAAAAGTAAAGGGCAGAATAAGTGAAACCTTAAGAGTTAAACTCGGAGTAAAAACCCATTTAACTTCGAGTTTGGGGGCTTAATGTTCCGGGTTAACACAGCGAGTTGTACTTGCTCGTACGAGTAAAGTACGCGGAACCCGTAAATACTTTACCCGGATAGGCGGTTGGTCAGGTCAGTAACTGCTACGCGTAGTGGAGTTAGCAGTCGGTTGAGTCAGCCAGCATTCCCAGTAATGGAGTCATAAGTGGGCCTACCACGAGCCTACCACGATGTCATGATGGTATCCACCACTCCCATGACACAGGTAACCGTTCTAAAGCTACACCTATATATACACCAAGGATTAAGATAACAGGCAGACAACTACGAGGGAGATCCATATTAATGTTCGTCCAGAACAGATACAAGATTTAAATTCTCTCTTATGTGTTAACACTCTTAACTAGGATAAGAAATTATAAATGATTACAATCCAACAAAAGCACGATTTCTTTGTTAACTAATCTTTGATTATATAGCAATGTTATTAAATTCTGCTTGGTTATTGATTCGATTGCGATACTAGATTATTTAATCACTGATTCAACCCGTGAATCACTGGTTGAATCAATTGACTCTGGCAAGTATATGTTTATATATATTTTATACTAAAAAGTCCACAAATATATTCAAATGTGTATAAAAAATTATATCAGTTGTAAATATTTTAATGTGAAAAATAATAAATCACATAACATTATTCAACAAATAAAGAAACACACAATATTTGACTTGTCTTCAACATTTAAAATATACTACAAGTGAAATCCATATGAAATCTTGACGACTCATTGATTACATCTTTTTAATTATATTTTTATCTTATTTTATAACCTTCTTAAATTTTTTAAAAAATGATTTTTTATTAAACTTGTATGAATTGGCCGAGTTATCGATTTTCACCGAAATTGACCGATCAACTGCTTCACCTGAACCGATTATATAATTAGTTTATCAATTTCTAAGTTAACCCAACTGCGCTACTCCGAGTTTTTGAACACTTGTAGGAGAATCAATCGTTTGTGAAATCTTACGTATTATTTGAATTGTTAGAACAATTAACTACACAACTCGCGATAGATAAAGAGTAGCTAATCAATGTTTAATCTAAAATTATCAACTATTGTTTTGCTTATCCTATAATTAAAATAATACTTTTTTAAGAATCTTGCATATGTTCTCAATTATGCTTTGTCCCCCAATAAGAAAGAGCAATCCCTCGTTATTCTAATTCCTTTACGTAAAAGGCTCCACATTACAGTTGGACACCCTTTTTTGACCAAAGAATGAGGAAAAAAGCAAGAGAACTAAATAAGAACACCAACCACCAATTTTCTCCAAATTGGTGATGGTACCACAATAACTGCCAGGTTGTTATTCGTGGAAATCAATAATTTTTTTTCTTTGAATTTTATTTATTTATTATAATAGAATTTAATAGATAAAGTTATTTTGTATATTTTTTTTTTATACATATCTTGTATATTTTTTTTTGTACATATCTTGTATATTATTTCAATTCAAAGATAAAGATATCGTTTTTTTTTTTTGTTGAGAAAATTCATGTTAAACGATACCGGTATAATTTCTAAATTAAAAATGACATTATCTTAAATTACAGCAGATAATTTTTTATAATAAAGAGTAACATCTTTTTATTATAATAATAAGATAAAATATTTTATCCATTTTTTTATTTTAATTATTTATCTTCAGTATTATTGGATCAAAATTTTATTATTTTCAATATCATTGGATAAAATATTTTATTGAAATTCTGATTTAATAATATTAAAAATTAGTAAATAAGATGATAAAAGTAACCTATTCGTACAATAATAACTTTTTGAGAAAAGTTACATTTACAATTTTTTTTTACAACTTCTTACGATCATATTTTAACATCGTTGATTTTCGTCAATCAACGATTATGATTTTCGCAAATTAAACTCATTAGTTAATTATGAATTCACATAAATAATAATCATTAATTGACAAAAATCAATAATATTAAGATATGATTACAAGAACTTATAAAAAAAATAATTCTAAGTATAGCCTTCCTCGAAATTTTATTAGTTTTATTTTTATTATTGGTTTTCTTCTTTAAACTGGCGTTGAACTTCTCCTATGCCTTCCCTTCTTCAATACCCGTCAAGCGTTCCCTCTCCAAAATCTCAACTTTCACCTTCAGAACTATTTTCTGATCCTTTTTTGTTCTGAAATCTCATTCCTTTGGCAACCCCAGATCCGTTTTGTTGTGTTCTGAAGATGAAGAACACGAGGAAGAAGAAGAAGCAAAAGCCAAAGCCACCGAAGAATGATGAGGAGAAAAAAGGAGCAGAAGGGGTTGTTGATAAAGAAGAAGAAGAAGAAGAGAGAAAACGCAGAATTTTGGAGGCTTCGATTGAGGGTTTCTCGTTGGAGGAATCTGCCATGGTTTATGATGGCGTTGAAGGGGTTGGTGATCCCGACAAGGCTTCGGAGATCCCGAGGAGGGGTTTGGTGGACAATGATTCTGGTTGTTCTTCGTCCAGTGGTGGAAGCAGTATTGTTTATTCGGGGATGGATTTGGGTTCAACTTCGGGTTCCTCAGATTGGTGCGTGGAACCGAGTTGTGGGGAGGATGTGGCGTGTTTCAAAGGGGGTAGGATGAAGAAGAAGGTGGTTGCTGCCACGGGCACTGTTTCCACGGTTCTGGGAAAGGAGTACATGAGGAGGAACAAAACCAGGAACAAGGGGTTCAGTGAAGGGGTTGTTGACAAGGAAGAGGCAGAGCAGTTTTTGTGTTCCATGCTTGGGCATGATTGTGACCTTGACTTCGCCCTTGTTAGAGATGTTCTTTGTGAGTATTTGGTTTTTTTTTTTTTTTTTTTTCCCTCAATTTTAATTTTGTATCTTGAAACTTGAACAAGATGGATGCAGTGATATCTCATGATATTTTATGTGTAGGGATTTGTTAGCTATAGAAAAAAAAAACTAGATATTGCACAAGGTTTTTTTTTTTTTTTTTTTTTCCTTTTAAAATTCTATTTTCAATTTGGGGGGTACTCAATTTTAAGTGAGTAAACAGAATTCTATACTCGATCTCCCTAAAAAGTTTTAAACCTTGTTAGATAAATATAATATAAAACTATCAATGTGACCTTCACCTCACAATTTTGAGTTTTAAGTTGCGAGGTTGAATAGGGGGGGGGGGGGGTGGGTTACTCAATTTTAAGTGAGTAAACAGAATTCTATACTCGATCTCCCTAAAAAGTTTTAAATCTTCCAGTTCCGGGGAGAATTCGCAAAACTCGTTTCCATCGAGAATTGAATGGAGTTTATATAATATAAAACTATCAATGTGACCTTCACCTAACAATTTTGAGTTTTAAGTTGCGAGGTTGAATTAGTTCTTTATATGATAGCTGACCAAGTGGTTACAACTTTGATCCTCACTTCTCATTTTATTAATAAATAATTAAAAATTACGGAATTTCTTAGCACAGATAGATAATTCTGTACATTGTTCATCTTTCAAACCCAATGGGCTGTTGTGTGAAGGGCATGTTAGAGAAATATAATATAAAACCATTAATATGATATTCATCAAACAAATTAAGTTTTTGGATTGAATTGGTTGCTTTCAAACCCTGATTATCCAAACTTCAACATTTGATGTAATTTTTTTAATTCTCTTGAGTTTATATAGAACTAGAAATTTATTCTCTTCCTTGAAGTGCTATGGTCTTACTTTTAGTCATTGCTTATGCATAAAAGCAAGCAAGACATTGTATACTTGTTTATCCTGTTGTGAATTATGCATAGTAGTTAATTGCGCCGCGAGCCGCGCCATATGGGCATTGCGGTGCCTCGCCGCAAGAAACCGCGCCGCACCACAGCGGAACGCAATAGCGGACATTGCGATCGCATTTGCAGCCATATTGTTGTCATAAGGCAAAATGTCAATTTTGTCCTAAATTTAAATGTGTAACAGATAGAATTTAAGGGTTTTTTAGTCTATCTGCGTCTGTCTCTGTCACTTTTGCTTCTCTTCCATTAAAAAATGTTTACTTTTGTCATTATTTCTGTCATATATCTATTCCGCTATTTCCGCAACCGCAACCCGCTGTAACGCTATAGCCTTTTTAGGGGTTGGCCGCGACATGCCGCAATCCGCATTTGATAACTATGGAATTATGACTTGTTGTTTAGGGGATTAGTTTCTGGTTTATTACATGACCTTGGAATTTGTCTTTCATGCAGGTCAGTGCGGATATAATGTTGAAAAGGTATGATGACAATTTGAAATTGTACTTCACTTGAAACTTAACACTTGATGTTAATATATGTTAGGCACTCCTATGCTAGAGTGCGTGAGTATTGAGTAAGGGGCAAAAAAGGTATTTGGGTATGTACACTTGAGATTGGATAATTGTGTTTCTCGTACGAGTACATAGGGAATATATATATATATATATATATATATTAAGTACAAAAACTAATCTATTATATACAAGATGTGAGACTATTCTATTATATACACTGTACTACTCTAACATACTATTCTAACACTCCCCTTCAAACTGGTGCATATATATTGTGAGCACCCAGTTTGTTACAAATGTATTCAACCTCAAGGATCTCTAAGACCTTTAGTGAAAACATCTGCAAGTTGATCCTTGGAGTTGACAAATGTCGTTTTGATTTCTCCTGAATGAATCTTTTCTCGAATGAAGTGACAATCGATCTCTATGTGCTTAGTTCTTTTATGAAATATAGGATCAGATGATATATGAAGCGCAGCTTGATTGTCACAAATGAGTGTCATGGGCTATTTCTATTCACGAAAATGGAGATCCCGAATCAACTGCTTTAACCAGATTAGTTCGCTGGTGGTAGCTCCCATTGCACGATACTCGGCCTCTGCACTAGATTAGGCGACAATAGTTTGTTTTACTCTTCCAAGAAATTAGGTTTCCTCCAAATACGATACAATAACCTGAAGTAGAGCGTCTATCTGAGGCTAATCTTGCCCAATCGGCATCTGAATATCCAAAAATTTATGTATGTCCCTGATCTGAATATAATAAGTCTTTTCCTAGTGCTCTCTTGATGTACCGGAGGATCCTCACAGCAGCATCCCAATGAGAATCACAAGGGGAGTTAAGGAACTGACTAGCCACACTAATAGCAAAAGAGATGTCTGGCCTAGTCACAGTGAGATAATTGAGTTTCCCAATCAACCTTTGATAACTTCCAGGATAAGATAATGGCTCCCCCTGTCCAGACAATAATTTGATATTATGATCCATGGGTGTGTTAACTAGCTTACATCCCAACATACCAGTCTCCTCTAAGATATCTAAGGCATATTTCCTTTGACAAATGAAAATGCCCTGTCTAGACCGTGCCACCTCAATCCCTAAGAAGTAATGAAGCTTACCCAGATCCTTTGTTTGAAATTGACTGAACGAATATTGTTTTAATTGGTCAATCCCAGCTTGGTCACTTCCAGTAAGAATGATGTTATCGACATAGACTAACATATAAATGCACTTATCAGGATGTGCACCTATAAAACACAGAATGATCAACCTCACTACGAATTAAGCCAAAAGCCTGAACAACAGAACTGAAACGGCTGAACCACGCTCGAGGAGACTGCTTGAGGCCATATAAGGACTTACGAAGTCTACACACCATTCTAGACTCCCCCTAAGCAACAAAGCCAGACCGTTGCTCCATGTAAACCTCTTCCTGTAAATCATCATGAATAAAAGCATTTTTAATGTTCAGTTGAAGGAGTGGCCAGTGACGAAAAACAGCGAGGGCAAGCGGACAGATGCATCTTCGCGACAAGAGAGAGCATGTTACTATAGTCAAGGTCAAAAATCTGAGTAAAGCCCTTGGCGACTAAGCGCGCCTTGAGACGATCAATGTGGCCATCAGGTCCAACCTTGACAGTAAAGATCCATCGACAACCAACAATAGACTTCTCCAGAAGAGCAGGAACAAGATCCCAAGTGCCATTGGAATGAAGAGCAGTCATCTCATCAAGCATCGCTTGGCGCCACCCTGGATGAGAAAGTGCTTCACCTGTGGTCTTAGTAATAGAAACACAAGAAAGACTAGAAGTAAAGGTGAAATGAGGAATAGAAAAACGGTCATAGCTCAAAAAGGTATTAAGATGATAAGGGTTACGAGTAGTACGTATATATTTTCTTTGGGTAATGGGAAGAGCCTCTGGTGAAGGATTCGGTGGGGAAGAGTCGACAGGAGAAGGCGATGAGTCAGCCAGGGTCAAGTCCGCAGGAGGCACAGTCCGACGATGCTGATAGGTGAGAAAAAAGCGGTCCTCTGGGATGGAAGTAAGAGGTCTCTCCTCTGGGATAGAGTCACCTGTGTTGGGAACTCGGTTCCCTCAAGCTCGGCTAAGCAGCCTTTGTGCGGAAGTCAATCAACAAGATCCTGATCTCGGATCTCGGCAATACCTCGGCCTGAACTTCACCAGGTCAGGCAGCGCAGCGGAAAAATCAAAACGAAAAACAGGAGAGAGAGGAGAAGAAGAGAGAGAGAGAACACAAGCAATTTTTAACGTGGGAAAACCTTCTACAATGAAGAAGTAAAAACCCACGCGACCTAGTCCAGATCAAAAATCCACTATGAAAATAATGGTTACAAAGAATCAAATACACCAATGTGGTGGTTAACTCAACCTCTCCAACAATGGTGATAATCAAACTACCCTAGAGATGTTTCACTCAAACTCTCTCTAGAGATCTCTCAAATGCAAAACATTAAGCTTTGCTCAAACAATCAAATAATTATCTGTCAAATTTTTCTCTCTCATTCTCTTAACCTAGCCACCACCCACAACTAATGAATATATAGATGAGGTGAGATCTAGGGTTAGGGTTTTTAAAAAACCCCTCAATGGGCTTGGGCTTAGCATTAAAGGAGGAAGCCCAACAAATCTCCCCTTCCAACTTCAATGCGTCGGCTTTAGCATCAACCCGGCTCCTTCACAGCAGTCTTCAAATTTCCTTGCTGGAACCGGCTTCGTCATCATGTCAGACCAATTTTGGTCAGTGTGCATTTTGACGAGTTTGAGCTCTCCACCTTCCACCACATACCGGATCCAGTGATACCTCACATCAATGTGCTTAGTGCGGGAGTGATAGGTTGAATTCTTCGCAAGATGGATTGTGCTTTGATTGTCACAACCCAGCTCGTACTTGTCTTGATCATAGCCGAGTTCCATGAGGAACTTCTTCATCCACAACATCTCTTTGCTTGCCTTAGTAGCGGCAATGTACTCAGCCTCAGTTGTCGATAGTGCAACACATTTCTGAAGTCTTGATTGCCAAGAGACAGCTCCTCCGGCAAATCTCATCATGTATCCCGTCGTCGATTTCCTCGAGTCGGAATCTCCCCCTAAATCAGAATCCGAGTAGCCTTGCAACTCGGCTTTGCCTTCTCCAAATCGGAGGCATAAATTGGTCATACCTCGGAGGTACTTGAAGATCCACTTCACTGCTTCCCAGTGCTCTTTGCCGGGGTTTGACAAATACCAGCTTACCATTCCAACAACATATGCCAAGTCGGGTTTAGTGTAAACCATTGCATACATCAAGCTTCCGACGGCGGATTGGTATGGGACCTTCATCATCTCATCTTTGTCTTCATCAGATTTCGGACATTGCTTCCGGTTCAGCTTTATGTGTCCGGCAAGGGGGTGCTCACTGTTTTGACTTTGTCTATGCTGAATCTCTTCAATATCTTCTCAATGTACTTCTCTTGACTCAGCCACAATAGCTTCTTTTGTCTATCTCGGATAATCTTGATACTGAGAATCTGCTTTGCAGGGCCGAGGTCCTTCATTGCGAAGGACGAGCTCAACGCTTTTTTCAAGGCGGCTATCCTCGATTTGTCTTTCCGTACAATAAGCATGTCGTCAACATATAACAATATCAGAAAATCTCCGGCCTCATACCTCTTCACAAATACGCAGTGGTCGGCTTCTGTCTCCTCAAACTTGTGATCAGTCATGAATGACTCAAATTTCTTGTACCACTGCTGAGGTGCTTGCTTCAAGCCATAGAGGCTCTTCTTCAACCGACATACCAAGTCTTCTTGGTTTGGAGCTCGAAATTCCCTAGGTTGCTCCATATATATTTCTTCTTCTAAATCACCGTGAAGAAATGCCGTCTTCACGTCCATTTGTTCTACCTCAAGGTCCATCGAAGCTGCCATGGCTAACACTGTTCGGACAGGGGTCATTTTCACCACAGGAGAAAAAATCTCCTCAAAGTCAACTCCTTTCTTCTGATTGCAGCCTTTCATTACAATCCGGGCTTTGTATCTCGGCTTTTGCCCGTACTCTTCATTCTTAATCTTGTAGACCCATTTATTTTTCAGAGCTCGTCTTCCTTCAGTCAGCTTGGTCAGCTCATAAGTCTCATTCTCGTGCAGAGAATTCATCTCGTCTTGCATTGCCTTTTTCCATTCTTCTTTCTCTCAGCTCATCACAGCCTCATCATAACTCTGAGGCTCACCGTCTTCAGCAACAACGGTGTATTCATCAGATGAGTATCTTGTAGAGGGTCTTCTTTCTCGAGTTGGATATCTCGGCTGTTCTTCAACTTGAGAACCCGGATCTCCTCATCAACTCGAACCTCAGTGTCTTGGTCATCCTCAGCTGGTTGCTGATCATCAATTTCTTCATTTTCATGATTTTCTCCCCCTGTTTCAGCTCGGACAGGAGGGATGGGTTCTTCACGTCTGACAGTAACTCGGAATTTGGGCTTCGAGATGTCATGAGTGTTCTCATCTTCATGAAAGATCACATCTCGACTTCTTACTATCTTCTTATTGATTGGATCCCAAAGTCGGAACCCGAACTCACATCTCGGCGAACCAAGATAGATGCATTCTTTTGTCTTCGCATCAAGTTTTGCCCTTTCATCTTTAGGGATATGCACGAAAGCTCGGCATCCAAACACCTTCAATTGATTATAGGCCGCTTTTCGACCTGTCCATACTTCTTCTGGAATTTCTCCTTCAAGTGGCCATGATGGTGAGAGGTTGATTAAGTCAACAGCAGTTCTTACGGCTCCTCCCCAGAATGATTTCGGTAACCCGACATTGGATAACATGCTTCGTAACTTCTCTTCAATAGTTCTGTTCATTCGCTCAGCCAGTTCATTCAACTGTGGAGTCTTGGGGGGCGTCTTCTCAAGTCGAATCCCGGCCGCTCTGCAATATGCATCAAATGGGCCGCAATACTCAC